CCATTTGTAGTCAATAACCTACAAAAATTCACTTTTGCAGTCAGATAAGGTGAACTTTAACTCGTTCAGCTTGTGTGGATTTGTCTGGCATCTCTTTTGATGATGTGTGGAAACGCTACTCATTAAATGGGTTCTTGTAGCCCTAAACTGCTGCTCTCCACTTCCTAGACGTGCCCTGTAATTGCTTGGGCTGAGAGTGGTTCCTGTTTCACCGCTGTGAAACCTCCTCGTCTGCGGGGGTTGGAGGCTGGAGCTGTGGGAACGCTGGGTTTGGAAGGCTCATCCCGCAGGGATCCCTGCTGGGTGTGAGCAGTGGAGACTGCAATGGAGTGGGAGACACAGAGCTGTTGGTGTTGCACTGTTATCCTGAGGGAGGGTTCCTCTGCCGTGGCAGCGTGTACCCCATTCCCAAAGCCCTGGTGCCCCACTCCCAAAGCCCTGGTGCCCCATTCCCAAAGCCCTGGTGCCCCACTCCCAAAGCCCTGGTGCCCCATTCCCAAAGCCCTGGTGCCCCACTCCCAAAGCCCTGGTGCCCCATTCCCAAAGCCCTGGTGCCCCACTCCCAAAGCCCTGGTGCCGTGGAGCGTCCCGGCCGGGCAGGGGGCACGGGACTGCAGCCTGGGAAAGGGCTTTTGTGTGAGGGGAAAAGACACACAGCCTGCAAGGGGGCAAGGACAATTTATTCACATCTTCCTGAACTCATTCTTTGCTCTGGTTTTCCTTTGGGAGGGTGGCACCTGGGAGACTAGGAATTTTCAAAAAATAACAGGGATTTCATATATCTGTTTGTGAGCACACCTGGATGTGTTGGATATTTTGCAGTAGTAATTATGTCTGCACACCTGCTGGTTTCAGTCCCAAAACAGTTTGCCAGACATGCCTAGAGAGATTTATTTCTCCTATACCTGAAAAAGCTCTTTTACCACTGAGTTTTTACTACTCTAAATAAGCCTAAAGAAAAAAAAAAGAGGATTTTTTTTCTTGTCTTTGCTTGAGCCATTGGTATCTCAAACTGAACTGTGGAGTTTGTTAGGGGGAGGAGGGTGTTTGGATGATATTTTAATAGCAATTTGTTTTTGCTTCAATGTGTGATAGAAATACAAGTGACAGGAGTGGGAACAGGAGAGTTGCTGAATTCTGCTGGAATTTTTCCTGTGGGAATCTGTTAATGTTTTTAATTCTCTGAGAGATTTTTCTAAGGTAATCCTTTTGACATTTACATATTTTAAATGACTCTCATTAAATAAAAGCTTAACTTTTTTATATCGAATGCTGAAGTGATGATACTGGAATACCACTGCATAGAAATTCAAATGGTTTGAGGATTATTCTAATTGCAACCTAAGCAAAGTAAGATTTGTGAGGGATATTAGTAGAGAATTGTTCTCTAAAATAACGTGGGTTTGAAGGAAGTTTGATTGTTCTGGCATTTAGCAGATGCATTTTTTTAGACCAAACCCTTTTTGGTTTTAGTGCATGGTGCACTTGGCTGTTTGCTAATTGAAGCCCTCGTTTGGACAAGCGTGGCTTCCACTCCTCACTCGTGGAGCAAATGTGAGCTGTGCAGGAGCCCCGGGCTGTGCACCCTGTCACAGTCCTCGTCCCTGTCTGTGTCCCCAGGGGCGGCTCAGCCCCTGCAGGACGGTGCTGAGACAGGCAGGGAGGGCTGGAAGAAATAAGAAGTGGAACATCTTTCAAAAGAAAGAGCGGGATGGTGAGTGTTGCATCTCTTGCAGGGGACACCCTCTTGCAAGCAAATACTGCCATAAGAAAATGATTCCTGTATTCGTGTCTTTGAACTCCTTTCCCAGGAGGCAGGAGGCACAGCATGAGGAGATCTCTGGGACATACATACAGTGTAGCCCTTTTAAAACATAGTGTAGCCCTGCTTTTACATGAACTTTCTTCTGTAGGTTGCACTTCGCTTGTTCAAGCCCTTGAGCCAGAATTTGCTCTCAGACCAGACTAAATACTAAGCAAATTCATTTAATTAAATTTGTTGCAGGTATCCTCAGTTAAGAAGAACAGATTGGTCTCCCTGAGGCTAGATGGCATTAACAAGAAAATAAATGTTGTGCTAATTAGGGAACTCATTTTCAGACACCTGGGGTGAAACTTTAAAAAGTCCTAGAGATGTAGGATTGAAAATTCATTTGGAAATGAGTCTTAGGCTTCTAAATCACTTAGGCACTTTTGAAAAATTTCCCCAGAGGCTTTAACCATCTCACAATCGTCATATTTAGCATGTTTGTAGCTGTCTGCTCAGCAAAGCACAGTGTAACCATTATCTGTTCGTATCAGTGCACCACAAGGTAGTTCATTATCCCTGGAAGTAAGGGAGAGACTGAGCTACCTGCTGAGCTGAAGGTAGGCTGAATATCATTGTTTTGAGGATGCTGTGTGTCAACAGGAACAGACTGATGCTTTCTTGGAGTCGTTAAAGCACTGGTGCACTAAATGTCCATCTATTTGCAACCTCATGGGACTTTCTGTACCTAAGAACTTTTAATTAAATCTTGGTCTTTAGTGACTTGTCCAAGCTCCTGGATAAAGACAGCACAGATGCAATTTTATAGTTCAGCACTTGCTGGAAGGAAAATGAGACGCTTAATACTGTCACACTGCCATTCCTCTGCCAGATTGTGATAGGAAGTAATAAGGAGTCATAAGCTCAATAAAAATTAGGTTTAATATTAAGCCAAATTTCCAGATTCACATATATGATTAGCAGAAAAGTAAGGAAAGAACCAGGCTCCAAAGAGCAAAAAGTCCCTTCATTTGCTTACAGCTCAGAAGTATGTTTTCAGTAGTTGTTTTTTTCTCTTGTAACCGGTCTGAGGATTGTTCTGAACCCTCCTCCTTGTAAAGACATGCATTAGTAGCGTCTGTTTGATGCCAGGTAAAGCCTTCCCACAGCCACGCACACACTGCTGTCTGTCAGCAGAAACCTGTGTGTGGGTAATTAGAGAAACGCTGTTAAAAGCCTGCCTTGTAATCCCAGCTGGCCCCTGGGCTGGCTCGGCTCTGCCTCGTGCTGAGCACAGGGAGTGCTGCACCCTCGGACCAGCCCCCAGCTCCTCACATTGACAGGGCTCCACAAAGGGGGGCTGAGGGCACCAGCACACAGCCGGGGTGCCCAGAGAGGGACCCCTGGGCACACAATCCTCCCTCTCACAGGTTTGTAACCCAGGGTACAGGTGTACCATGTGCAGCAGGGTACAGATGGGCACCCAGGAGCTGGATCTCGCCATGGGGCCAACCTGTACATCGTGTAATGCCTGTCAGGAGTCTGGATCAGCCGACAGCATCATAAAACAGATGAGTCAGGGCCCTAAAACACGGAGGGGATCCACTGAGCTCATCATTTTCATACCTAATTACACAGTGCTATTGAGAGAGAACTGCACATTATGCTGCACATTATGTTTCATCACTAGTTCTAAAAGATAATTGCATTTAATTAGGACCTATAGATACCATGGTGATTACTGATCTATAAACACTCAAGGTAGACCTGCAAATGAGGTGCAGCAGCAAGTGCATCCACTGAACACGATTCAAAAGTGATGCTGAGGGGCGATGACAAACAGTTGAGCTGTTTTACGTGGAACTTGTAGCTCTAGTGCTCTGTTCTGATTCACTGCAATCCCTCTCCTGTGAGCCAGCAGGCAGACAAACACCTGCTGATCTTCCTTACTGAATTTAGCAAAATTTTTGTCTAATCTGGGGTAATATATGCATGAGTAGGCAAAAGTGACAAGAGTTGACATCTGTAGTGGCGAAAGATGACCTTTTCTGTGTGAAGTCAGGTCAGAAATGAAGAAGCAAACATAAAGCATAGCTAGTAATGCCACACATAAGGCAGTAAACACTGTTCGTGGTGAATATATTTTTTGTAATGGACATTATAACGCATTTTCCAATGAATTGCAAATTGCAGTTCCAGTCAAAGAAGCTGCTGGTTCCCTTGTCCCAGCACAGGTCCTGGAGGGTCATTTGCAGCAAGTCAGAGTACAGAAAAGTTATTCTCATCCTTCTCTGGTGCTTGTGCAGAGCTGCCTGTGCAGGTGTTCTGTGACTGGAAATACCTGGCGAGGGTGCCAGGGCAGGGAGAGCTGCCTGTGGGAATGGCACGGGCTGGGTTTGTGGGAATGGCACAGGCTGGGCCTGTGGGAATGGCACAGGCTGTCCCTGGGAGCTCGTCAGGAACTGTCCTTTGTGTTTCCCTCATGGGACAGGGCAGCTCCTTCCCCAAACACCAGTCCTGTTCTGTGCTGAGCCCGACCACCTTTGAACCGATGACATGAAGCTGAAGGTATCCATCCCTTTTGATCCTTTAAGGAATACAAACTGCTCGGAATAAAATGTTTAACACAGTAGTCACTGAGTGTGAAATACTGCATTTCTTTTTTCCTGTAACCGTGCTTGGAACCAAAAATTCAAACACTCAGGAGTAATGGAATTCTTGTGTGCACCAGAACTCCAGTCTCATCAGAAATCCTTTGCAGTTGATATGTTCACTGCAGTGCTTTTCTGGAAATGGTTGTGAGGGGAAACACACAAGTAGTATTTTTATGGGGAGGAAGGGGAAAGACTTAGCCAAGGGGCTAAAGGGAATGATGAATTGCTTACCCACTGAAATTATGGGTATCCAGTTTCTTGTGTTGTGTGGCTCTTGCCCTTTGCAGCGGGGAGAACAGGTGACCAATTTTGTATTTCCGAGAGTGTGAGGGGTGTGCGTGTGGCCAGCTCAGCACCTCCCTGACAGAGCAGTGCAGCAAAGAGCAGGCTGGACACTGCTTCACAGCTGCTGTTCAGAGGAAATGCTTTACCCTGAGCTGTGTGGCAAATAGAAATACATTCAGTAATGATAATTCAAAGAGCAAAGGGACCAGGAAAAGCAACATCCTGCTCAGAATATATTCAAAGTTGTCATTTCACTTTACCTTTCATTTTGCCTTCCCCTTGCTAATAGCTGTGTCTTCTTCTCACCCCCACAGTTCATTGCTGGGATGGCTCTGCCACCTCCAGATCCCCAGTTTGTGCTCAGAGGTACCAGTGCTGCCATCCACACTCTGCACTTCTCCTGTGGAGGCCAAGAACCCGATCCCCCTGTTCTGTTCTCTGGGTAAGGAAACCAGGATTTCTGGCTGCTCTGAGTGTGCTCATTTCCTTTTAAAAACAAGTGTATTCTTTTGACAAAGTGTGTCTGGAGAAAACTGTGTGGTTGTGAATGATGGGTGTGCTGTCTGTGCACACACCTTCAGTTTTGGAAACAAAACGAAAAGGAAAAGCATCAGACTGATCACCTGAATGCAGTGGTCACACTAAAACCATCTGTTCCTATTGCCAGCTCTGAGAACGGGCTCATCCATGTCTGGAACCTGAAAACACACAGAGTGGACACAGCACTGGATGGCCATGGACGAAAATCTGTCTACTGTGTGGAGACAATGGGTGGTAAAGACAGACTCCTCAGGTGAGCAAAGCAGAGGAGAACCAGAGAAATAGTTCTTGTCTCTGGGATGGACACGACTGAAGGGAAAAAAGTCTTGTAATTCTGGAGTCACTGAAAGTCTCCCCAACACGTGGAAATGCACTGAAGTACAAAAATCCAGAGAAACTCTAGAATGAAACGTGGGGGGAAAATAGAAATTATTTCTTTATTATGTGAATGTTATGACATCACAACAACTTGGGATCCACAGTGCCTTTATTACTGCACTGAGATCAGGGGCGGTGTTTGGGTAAAGGAAATACATTTGGATTTGAAGTTGACAAACCTTTCACAGCTGGTTCTCAGGGAATATTGATATAAAGAGTTTGTGAATAGAGGGGAGGGAGAAAAGGGAAGGAAAGAAGAGAAGAATCAGAGATGGAGAGTGGAAGACTGAAAATGAGCAAGAATGCTGAGTTTCATGCCTTTGCTTTGTTGCAAAATATCCTCTTGTTTAGCAAGGGAAGGTTGGGTAGATTTGTGTATTTTGGATTAGACAGGTGATCTAGAGTAGATGCCAAAGTGTCTGTATGATTAGGAGGTGTTCTGACATGTTTATCTAGAGAAGACATCTCATAATATACGTGGAACTCATTAGCATTTATATTTCTTATCTGCCTAGGTACAATTCTCAACACTCTTCCCCATAAAATGATATTGAATGAACATTGTTCATATAATTATAGAGTTCTTCCATACCTCTATTTCTGCTGTATAGTTAGAACAGTTCATATAGCAGTGCAATTTTAGGACAGCAGGTACCTGTATTTTGGATTTCTCTCTTCTAAAGCTAAATCACAACAATTTCTTGCAGCACCACATTGTTTGTATTCCCAGTGCTGTAAATGTTGTGTCAGCTTGTCACTCAGCTGAACAGTAGGTGGGAGTTTCTGTATTGACTGAAGAAGTCCCAACGGTCTGCAGATTCACATCTCCTCTGTTTTGGTTTCATACTTCATCAGGTGATCCAGTTAATTAAAGTAACACATGGAGAAGGGATTTTTGGTGACTCCTTGGCCCAGGGGTAGCATGAGGACATATGCCCTGTGCTCCTGTAGTTTATGGACTGGAAGTTTCTCCACAGCAGTACCTTGTTCCAGAGGCAGTGGGATCCCAGAACCCTGCAGCAATTCCTGCTGTGCCCTTTGGGCTCCTGGGCTGGGAGAGCCCCCGAGGGCTGTGCCCAGTCAGAGTGAGCTGCACTTGTACCTCAGGGCTCAGGGGGGTGTTTGAGCCACAGCATTCAACATTTGGTGTTTAATTGCTGCCAGTCCCTCTCCTGTCGTGTCTCCACACGTGGCAGTCCCACCAGCCCTCTCTGCCCTCCCTGTGCCTGTGGGACATTGCCCACTGAATAACTTAGCTTTTTATTTATCTCTGACACCGTCTGTGTTGTCTTGCTGCTTGTCTTTCAGCTGTCAACACATGACATTTCCATTTCATTGCTAGGGTGAACGAGTGTTACACGTGTGGCTCTCTGGGTACTTTTGTTTCCTTTTAAATTAGATCTGATTAATGGTAAAATATAAATCTTTTTATTGTGAATATGTTCAAATGCTCATGAGACTTTATAAATACATGCATACACATAAATAGCATAACTGGGCTCGCTCAAGCCTCTCTCCACATGGCAACAGCCCGCTGGGACTGCAGGGTGTCTGTCCGGCTCTCGGGCCCTCCCTCCTCCCGGCCAGTTCTGCAGAAGGGACCCCGTTAATTACAGACCCCATTAACACCCCCCAGCTGCACTGAGCTCAGTGCACTCCTGCCTGGGCCAGCCTCAGTTTGAGCTGCTGCCCTGCAGGCAGAGGGCTCTGGGACCTGCAGCTCACAGATGTGTGTGTCACTGTCACAGCCAGGGTCGGGACCAGAGGATCTGCCTGTGGGATTTAGCAGAGGGCCGGACCTCGGTGACGGACTCTGTCTGCACGGAGCACGTGGGATTCTGCAGGTGCTCTCTGGTGCAGCTGGCACAGGGACGCTGGCTGATGGCCACGGCAGCCAAAGGCCTGCAGGAGGTAGGACCTGTCTCTTTTCCTGGTGCTTGGGAGGTTGCCTTTGTTACTGAAATGACATCGTTCAGGAGGGGAGCTCTCGAATTCTCTGCTCAAGAGAGGGCAGCACAAGAAATCTTTGGGGTTCTAATCACTAATTTTACTGCCACAAAGATGACTGAATTCTATAACTCCTGCTCTAATGACAGGGACACCAGCCCGAGGTTTGTCTGACACTTAAGTATTTGCAGCGACTGCTGGTCTTCACATGCAGGAGTTTTGAAAACTCTTCTGGTGCTGCTGGATACTGGGGACAGGAGTCTTTGTGGGGAACTCCTGGTCAGCAGGTCTGCCATCAGGTGGAGGTGCTCAGCTCCCCTCTGAGCAGGGGAGGGGCTCATTTGTAACGTGATCCGGGGCCTTTCACCCCGGGCTAATTCCTTCCCTGGGACTGGGGCTGGAAACAGTTGAATTACGATTAGTGGCCAGAGGTTTGCTCAGTGTGAGATAATTGCAGGGTCGGTTTCAGTTCCTACTGAAATGTCCACATCTAATACCACTGGCACTGTACTCACTGACTGACAGCTTTGTTGGCAACTTCCACTTCTGCTTTGTAGAAATCATAGCTTTGTTTTCTACAAAGGACTGTTTTGAGGACATCATATTAAAAGAAATTATTTCAAATACTTGACATCAAAATACCAAAAAAGTGGCATAAATATGAAAAGAAATATTGTAGCTCACTACAACTTGTTGATGAGCATAAAAGTTCAGATGCTTTTCTGGTCTGTATCTTGAAACTAAAAGTTGCATATTTTATACACATGAACTAATAAGTGCCTGTATTGCAAGAAAATATGAACTCTTTATTATTCAGAAGTTAAGCACATATTTAAGTACTTTGCTGGCTCACAGCCAGATTGTTCAGCCTTTCACAGCACTGAGTAAGCCTGCAGACACAACCACTGCACCAGTAAGTACAACCACCCTGTGCCATCCCTTGTTCTGATCAAAGAACTCCCTCCATTTTGCTCAATAATGTATCAGTTAAACAAAACTGGCAAGTGCACTTTGCGGTAAAGATTAAATACTCATCTGACCCAAAGAGGACACCCCAGGCTCGCTCACAACTCATCCCTGGTTTGTTCTCATTTGTTTGCTTGGGCCCTGCAGGGGAGGATCATTTGCTGTCTCCTCAGGTAGAAGAGTCCCACTCTGGGTGTGCCCCTTGCACTAGAACTGTGTCACGTTTCCATAAATTCACAGGAGCTCCCATAATATACAGTCCTTCCAAATAGGCAGCACTGTGTGAGATGCAGTACATTTCCAGCTTATGATTAAAATTAAGACTTAATAAGTGTTTATGCTTGGCTGGTGCCCAAAAAAAGAGTAATTTTGTCTTAAAGCAGGTTCAGTCCATAAATAATGAGATCTGAACAGGCATTTATTTGTTCATGATTGCATTTAAATCACCAATTATGAGTTACACGCACTTTTCTTGCCAATTTGCCAGAAACATGTTAAAAGCTTTATTAATGTGAAAAAGAAAAAGGGTGTGTTTCCTTGTGGCCAGTTTTAGCCACCCAGGAACACTATTAACCTCAGGCAAAGGCAAATCTTTCTTCTATTAAGCAAAACCAACATAAACACAGCACTTCAAGTTTTAGGTTACAGTTGTCAAAATATATGAAATAGTATTTATTTCTAAGGCTCAGTTACTTTTAATGCAGACAGCCTCTGGAACTGTCAGTCCAGCAGAGGCAGCAGCTCATGCCTGCCTGCCTTCTGCACAAAGCTTTGCTCACTGGGTTTTCTTTGGCCTTTGCAAGCCCAACTGTGGCCTTCGTACCAGTTCATCTGTTTTCAGTCAAGGTAGAGCGAAGGTTTTTTCCTTTTAACCTGCAGAAGTGCATTTATCACACCACACTTACCCTTCCTCATTACGTCGCAGTTGCAGTTTCAGTCTTGCCTAGGAGGCAATGCCCTTTGGAGAGACAGTGATGAAAGATGCAAGATGAGGGCAGGTCATCCTCATATTTACAGCCCATTTCCTGCCACAGCTAACTTGGTTATTATGTTGATAGCAAGAAAGTTGCCAAGAGAAAAGCATCTTTTGTTAAGAGTGTAGCTCCAAAGAACCAGAATTCCCAGCTGATGAGCCTTTGGGCTGTTCCAGGTTTGGCTGCAGACTGGATGGCTCTTGGCTGTAGTCACTGCTCCTCCAGCGTGGGGAAGTTTCCTGCTCTGGCCCCGAGGCTCTGGGAGCGCGGTGTGTGCCGAGTGCGGTGTGTGCCGAGTGCGGTGCCGCAGTCCTCGAGAGCAGCTGGCTGCTGGCAGGCTGGCTCACAGCCTCCAGAAAGAGGAAGATGTTCTGGCAGGCTTTGAACTAAAGGGATGGGATTGGAAACCATCGCAGCTGCCGTGGTCGTGATTGATGGCTCCCCGCGGAGCCGTGTTTGTGGAGCAGCTCCTCCGATGCCCCGGGAGGTTCCGCCCCGGGGCCGTCCGGCAGCGCCGCCGGGCTCCTGCCCCTTCCGAAAGGGCCCAGGACGGCCGGGTGCTCATTTACCAAGCGGTTCAAGTCGTTTAATTTTACAACATAATGCAGACCATTGTTTACTTAATTAAAAGAAAAGATCACCTTGGTGATTAGGGGTGTGTTTGAGAAACAGCCATGTTTCTGGCAGCAAGGTTTTGATACTCAAGAGCTTCTATTTCTTCATAGTTCCAGGCTTGAGAACCAGCCCAGAGCTGAGGCACTGCCACGTCAGTCAAGACTCAAAACCTTCCAGTGCCAAACAGAAAAGGCCTGCCATCATCCTGAGGTGGAAATGAGCTTCTTCCTTGGCAGAGGAATGACTTGCCCAATGTTTAAAAAAAAATCCAGAAAAACACTAGATCCGTAATTCATTACCATCAGTGCAAGCAACAGGGGAAGCTGCTCTGTAGAGAGAGCAGGTGTTTAACACAGCATTGTCTGAGCCTGCTTTGAACAGGGTCAGACAACACTGTGTTAAAAATACCTGTGTGCTGACGCTGCTGCAGCCGGGGAGCCCAGTGAGCCTGGGCTAAGCTTTGTCAGTGCAGTCGGCAGGAAATAAAACATCCTCCTGGCATACACACACTGCCTCTACTTCTGTGTTACCACAACAGCACAGAGCAGAGAATGCAAGTGTCCAGAGGGGAACACAGCCAAAAAATTAGCAACAGAGAGGGAAAAAGGAGAAAGGAAGCAGGGCTATGTTCTCAGTTTAAGCAGTCTGCAGTGTTATCTGTCGTGTGCACGTGTCATCTACTGTTTGGAAAGAAGACTGTAATGCAGATGAACTGGAGGAGTGGAGAAGAGGATGTGCTCGCTCTGTTCCTAAAACAATGCACTTCTTTAGAGAGCTGGAGATTCCCCTACAGCTCCAACTTAGCATGCATTCCTCATCTTCCTGCAGACAGTTTTTACTGGAGGAGCTTATACTAACCTTAATCACCTTAAAAGACTCGTGTTTTTAAGAGCAGAATTTTGACCTGGAGCCTGACCAACTCCTCTTGTTTTCCTGATGTCAGGTTCAGGTTTTGGAGCTGCCATCCAAGACGTCAGTCTGTACCTTGAAGCCAGAGGTGGGTGCCAAGCTGGGCATGCCCATGTGTCTGAAGTTATGGCAGGTAAGGCGAGAGTGCCTGCTAATTGTGAAATGTTTTCCCTGTGATTCATTTTATATGAAGCACATGAATCTTTCTTCACTTGGATTTTGATTTATTATCAAACCAATCAAGTAATTATACTATTAAAGGGGGGAAAGATTTGTGAACATCCTTAATGTAACTTTCAGAGCTTTCCAAGCTTTAATGGAAGATTTGCAAATGCTCGGGGAAAGCTTTATATCCTTAGGATAGATACACTTTTTGCATCAATCAAGAGGAAAATGAATGACTTACCAAAGCCACTTGTTTGATATGGTTTCTCACTGCATTAAGAATGATGAGAAATGACTGGGTTGCCTGAAAACTGTGATTTTAATGGCAGATTACATTCACTTCAATGCCCTCAGGACAAGGAAGCACTCTATGAACATTTCTATTCCAGACATACAATAGGAACAAAATATTTATGGTGGTACTGACTTTGGGCAAAAAGGTAAATAAAAGCAGTTAGTGAAAAAAAACCATATTTGCAGAATATTTAGCCAATAATGTTTATGGGCTGCCAACAGTGAATGACAAGTAATAGAAAAAGGTGGCAGTAGAGGGAGGAAGGAGTTGAAGTGATTGGCTCTAAATCTCCAAAGAATTGGTGGCAAAGCTGATTCCCATTTAACCCCCTGACCACACACTGTGGTCTGCAGGACCATCCACGCTGATGCCAAATGTGTAGTTCCTGCAGGCTCATCTCAACATTTGTGTTGGTTTCAGGTGAAAACATTCTCAATCAGAGTTTGAGGCCTTAGTGTCTTCACTCAAAGTCCTGAACCAACTGAAATCTAGAGGAATTCATTTGCTGACGTCAGACAAAAGTAGGAGAGGCCACTGTTCAAGTCCCATGCTGTAATTAAAGACTAGGAAAAAAATTGAAGGAAAATTAAATAGGCTGATTAGGCTTTTATTAAACAAAGTTTCTCCTAAAAATGCAGTCAGTGTTCAGTGCTCAATGAAATGAATGGGGCTTTCTGTCTCCTGGACATTTTTTAATAAGATGGAGATAACTGAGGAAATGTTCAGTGTTGAAAATTTTGTTGCCTGTATAAGAAGTCCTCTGTCTTGCCATATTTTCTGCATGCATTAATATTGCTATTCCTCTAGGAAACAGAGCAGGTGCAGAGTCTTAATTTCATGTAGTTTTTAATTTTGTTGCCAGTGGGGATAAAGCAGAGAACTGGGAACTGGGAGAGGTAAATTATTCCATGCAGATTCTGACTCTGAGAACTCACCATAACTTCCTAGACTGCACCAGGCAAGTACAGCTAATCCCTGACAGTCTCACAGCTGTGTCTGCTCTTTTACAAATGTGTGCAACTTGGTTTGAAAGCGTGGGGAGCAGGACACCCTTAAGGGCAAATAATTCCATGTGGGGTACCAGAGTGATGCTCTGCATTCAGTTTGTGGTGGCACTGAAGTGGCTCTCTGAGCAGCCCTGTCAGCACAGAAGAGCAGAGCAGGGGCTCAGCCCCTCCTGAGCAGGATCTCTGCACACAGCTGGGCTGGGCAGTGCAGACGGACCCGCGGGATGGGCACTCCAGGGGGTGCCTGAGAGACTGTTTGGTGTTGGTGAGGGCACAGGGAATGAACAAGTTGGAACAGAGGCTGACAGGGAGAGAGCCCCAGGATGGTCTGAAGGAATTCTGCTGGGGTGGCTGGCCAGGGAGAGCTGGGGCTGCAGGCAGGGACCATCCTGTGTGCCAGGGAGCCAAGGCTGAGCTCAGGGACACCACAGCCAGCGGGAACGAGGGACTGCTCTGCACAGCACAAGGCAACCAAGGCTCAGGGCAGGCTTCCCCTAAGCAATCAAAATGCTTCAAGCTGTTTATTTGGGTCGTTTTGAGCACTTTCTCCCCTATTTTTCTAGGTCTATCCTTAAACATACTAGTTCATTCAGTAAGTTTTTTCTTGTGAAGATTTATATTCTTAAATACAGTGTCCCTTCCGTTTCACACCTTCCTGCTATTACTAATTGGGTGGAGTAGGATTTGCAGGAGTAAGGACAGTCTTCCCTTAAATTTTGTGCTCTCCTTGGGGAAGGCATCGTGTTGCGTAATGGTGCAAACAAAATAATTCAACGAGCAGAATACATGTCGAAACTGGAAACGCCGAGTTATTACTTTATATAAACTGTGGCAATTATTCCTGTTGAGTTGACAGCAGATCACCTTTTCTTCCTTCCTTGACACTTATCCAAATGCAACAACAAGATGTTCTGCTTAGCAAGAGCAATGATTTATAATTGAACTTTCCTACTGGCACAGGACACGCACGGTGAGACGTCTCCAGCAGTGTCCATCCCTGGAACTGCGATGAACAGGGCTGTGAGGGGAGCCTGCTGAGGTCTCAGCCTGAGATCTCCCCTGAGCTTTCCAGAGCTTTTATTGCTCAAGTTCATGTACTCATTGAAATATTACACTTCATGTGGTTAGCAAAGTCAGGAAGAAGCAGTGTGGGAGACTTTCATTTCACAGGAGACAGTACTTGGTTTTTAAAATAGACCAATCTTAGATCTCACTTGCAAATTACTGGTTTTCAAATCTAAGCTGAGATACCCACAACACAAAAAAAATATTTTTGCTTGGCATTTCTGGAAATGCTGAGCACTCACCTGTGTCTCCATCTGCACGAGGGCCCTGAGCTCCATGAGGGCTGTTTGGAGTAGGGAGAGGAGCCAACCCTGCCCCTCCATACCACATTTCACTGGCTAATGACAGAAGAGCAGCACAAATAATTGTGGAGCTTTTTTATGCTTAAACTCGGGGCTTTTTTTAAACTTAAAAGTACCTGTGAAATACTTTGTTTTGCCTTGAAGGTTTTATCGTTTATTAAATATAAATAAAATCTGGAATGTTCATTTAATTCAAATTTTTTAACTTTTCCTTGGTATGAAAAAGCAGATCCAAATACCTGATGAGTTAACATTAATTCACATGTATTTGACATATATTCATTGCTCTGATGTTATATTATTTTAGTAAATCAAAAATTTGACAGAAAAATTGTTCACAGTTCTGGGCACTATGAGAGACCTGCTTTGTGGGCCTTTCTAGCCAGAGCATGCTCCCTACCTTTTCAAAGGAAAAGGGGTCTGAAAAGAAAGAAGGAGGTTCCTGCATGATCCCAGGTGTGGACAGACCCCTTCAGAAGGATGATGTAGGGGATTTCCTACATTTCCAAGGATTTCCCCTTGGTTCCCTGCTCTTAAGGGGCAACAGTTCTTCCCTGCTCAGTGAGATCCTTTCCTCATTCAAACACTCCCCTGGGCTGAATGAGGTGAGGAAGCACATGAGGCTGTTACCAGAGCTGTTTAACTCCCCCCAGGACAAATAAGAAGCAGTGGGAGAACAGTGTGGACCACAAATGAGGCAGTGAGCCTTTGGCCACCGCAGGTTTGTGTCATGGCACTGACAGCCAGCGAGCTTGACCTCAGTCAGTAATGTCATACTGGTAAAAATGAATTCTTTATGTCCTTTACCTTTGTTTTGAACTGAATACTGAGTAAACAAATCCTGTGGGAGCAGACAGTGTTTGGAAGGATCTGAACAGCCTATTGGATACATTTCTTAGATGTGCCTACATGAGGTGGCCAGAGTCCCAGTGTCTATTTTGATGTTTCTTCTCCTATTGAAGAAATAACTGGCATTAACAGATGCCTCATTTTTAGTTGCTTTTCATTGGGGATTTGCATCTTCACTCTTGTAACCAGTCACTGCTCACGGCATCATTAGTCTTTTGGCTGGAGCAATGATGAATATTTTCCTTAAGTGTGACACGTAATCCAGTAATGTTCCCTTCTTTGAGTTATTTCAGAGGCTTAAATAAATTAGGTGTCTGCCCAGGGTGCCGTGGCCTTTGGCCTGTGACATCATTAATCAAAAGAGCTTTCAATTGGTTACAGTAGGACTGGGGGCCCATTAACCCCTTGGTGCCTCAGTGTTCAGTGTTTTCCTTGGAGCACAGGATCCCCCTGTATAACCCTGCCCCTGGCAGTGTGGGACTGCAATCCTTGGCATGGCACTTCTGTCAGTGCCCACGAGGGCTGCAGTGCTTGACAGGAACTCCGTTACTCTGCAGAATTTTCTTTAAGAAGTGCAGACAAAGTTCAGACCATGAAGTAAAGCTCCTGAGAACTTCAGGCAGCCTCTTTTCAGGTGTTGCAGAGGGCAATAGTTTGGATTTTCAGAGAGAAATTTTCTATATCTGTGTGTATATATGTGTGTGTGTACGTTAGATATATATTATATATATAAAATTTAGAATTTAATCTAAACCCCCCATAAGTTCATAGTACCTAGTACTGCCTTCTGTAAGTGGATGGACTCTCAGGATTTGACATTCACACTCCTAAACACTTTATCACTTCTACTCAGTCAGCATTTTCATTTATTCTCTTGGTGCTTGGACTGGAACCTACCTCGGGATGGTAATTTTCCTAACAGACTATTTACTTCTCAAACAATTTTACTTTTTCCTCGATCAGCTCAGCTGTGGTTCCCAACCCTTGCTTCTGGCTGGCTATGAAGATGGATCAGTGGTCCTCTGGAATGTGACAATGGGAAAAGCGTTGAGCCAACTCATTTGCCACCAGGAGCCAGTGATGAGCCTCGACTTTGACTCGGAGAGGACCAAGGGGATCTCGGGCTCATCTGAAAAGGTGCTTTGCATCTGGAGCCTCAATGAGCAACAGAACCTCCAGGTCAGCATCACTGGCCCTCTAGTGTCATTTATCCCACTCTGCACTAACAGTTTGATAGACTAAAAAAATATTTAGTCATGAAGAGGAGTTGTTGCAGATCTCTAGCTAATTAATCACAGACTGGTTAGAATGTCTGTGCTATGTGACCAGACTTAGCAAAAGATGGTGAGGATTTAGAAAAAAAAGAAAAAAACCCCTCTCTCACATGTTTCTGGTTTTACCAAAGTTGCAACAGGCACACAGGCCTAGCATTACTCAAGCCATTGCCTCTGTATCTTCATTTATCACGTTAGTAGTATCGAGCTCTCGGAATGCCCTAAACATTATAAATGAGTTACAAAAATGAGAAACAAAGGATTGCTTTTCCAAAGGTTCTGCTTGAATGGCTAGAGCTTTCTTTCCACTGTGGGAAAGACAGAAGTATTCCATGAAATACTTCACAGAAAAAAGAGTAGGAGTAGCCCAAGAGGCACCAAGAGGACAAGAGGCTCAGGCAGCCACCTTCCTTTGGCACCTACGGAGCCCCACAGAGACACAACATCAGGCAGTTGGTGCACCAGTTTGTGCCCAGTGACACACCTGGAGAGGCTGGTTTAGGAGGAGACACCAGTTCAGTGAATGGCCATAAACACTGCTGGTATCTAGGCAACCTTAGCAGGTGATCCAGCAGTGCCAAGGGGCAAGCAGGATTTACCCAGGGGTGGAAATGAAGCGCATAAATAAAGGCTCATGAACAACAGCCAAAGCATCCCTCTTTAAAGTGGCAGTTGTCCCATGAACAAGGGGAAGGACCCTGTGTGCCCCACACCATCCTGGAGAAGAGAGCTGTGGATGCACCAGTTCATGGGAGAACAGTAATGGCTGTTCCAGCCACGTTGCAGCTTTTATGGAGATTTTTGTAGGTAATGCAGCAAGTTAGTGCTGTTTTCTGAATGGTGCTACAGGAAGAAAAGCACATGCTGGGCCATCCAGCACTGACTCATCACCAAGGGGTCACTACAAAGGTGTGGAGTCTGCAAGGCATCCCCACAGAGCCAGCTGCTGGGGCAGAGCGTGTGGGGCAGTGTGGGGACACGGCCCCGGCCCAGCAGGGTCTGAGCTCACTGAACCTGCAGCACAGCAGGGAACGGGGCACTCGGGCTTGGAACAGGCTGGAAGGTGTTCTGAGCCACAAGGCTGGGGCACAGTTGCCATGGTTTGGGTTTGTTGGGTTTTTTGGTGATCTTTGCCCAGCCTTTCTGCCACTACTGTCACCATCTGCACGTGGTGTCCTTAGCTCAGGGAAGGGGAAGGAAGGTGAGCAATCCCAGTAAGAAGCTTGGTATTGAGACTAGTTCTCTAAGGCCAAGGTGTCAGGAATCTGACACCAAGACAGCCTTCTTAAAGCTTCAGATACTCTGGTGCTGGAGAGGAGGTCGTTCCTTCATATTAATTATAGCATAACTTTTTCCTAATTCAAAGGAAATATTGTTCTTCACAGCGCATTCCAGTTATGAGTTAACCCTAATGGAGGGCTACAGGTACAACTCATGGGAAAAGCAGTTGTTCACCTGAAATGTTCCAGGTATTGTTTTTCATCAGGTATTCACATTCCCAGGAGATGCAGGATTAGTTACACCCTCAGCAGCTCACACAGAGATAGTAGCTTTTCTCAGAAGAAATTTAAATGTCAAGTATTATAAGCTCCAAGCAATGTTCCTGTGCTCCATGCGAGTATGAATGCCCTAATAAAATGCATCTTTCATAGGAGAACTAGAGATTGTCAAGGACATAGATTAAGTTTTTTTCCACTATTGCATTAATAATATAAACCAGATGGGGATTTTTTTCCCTGACATTCCAGGTACCTGAGGTAATGGTAGACGTTGGAAAGCCACTCAGTGGCACATTATTTTTATTCTAAGAGGTTTTAATAAGTGAACGCGGGGCAGAGCTATCTGCCGGTGCAGAAATAATGATGCAATGATGGTGCTCAGCTCTGTTTGAAGTGGCAATGTTCCAGTGTGTCAATGAGGAGATGATGAAGGTAACTGCACAGTTTATTGCTATGGGGAAAGTTTGGGGTATTGTCTTCTACAGGAAAGTTGCTGAAATCATCACTGTCAGCAAATGCCGGGATTGGTTATGAGCCTTCTGATTTGGAGGAGATAGTGTAATTATGTGATGATGTTTGTGATAGAATGTAGGAGGTAAACAGCTTCTGCAGGTGAATAAACAAAGCAGAACTAAGAAATCTGATAACCACAGAAGCTCCTTTATATATGACAAGAAAAAAAGTTCTATAAGATGTAATGTAAGTTTTGTTAGTTTGGTTGCTGAGGCTTTTCCCCCAAACACTAAAGCTTAGGCTGCTGCTATTTGGCTATTTTTCTAATAAGCAGAGGGCTTAAAGACATGCTTTGGGTGTAGATGCAGGTGTCCTTGGGCATGACTGGCTGAAAGCAGCTCACCTGTTTTTACCTCTTTGTTTTCTTAATTACAAGCTGGTTTTCTGGTTAGGGAATGATGTTGGTATGCATTAGACTACTGTAGTTAGTGACTTAGTGTAGTAAGTCCCTGGATGGCACAAATGCTGGCACTAGGATTTCACCTGGCTGCATATACCTTGAGCAAGGCGTTGCTTTGCTCCCGTGTTTGCAGATCATGCACAAATGCCCCCTGTTCCTCCTGCTGCACAGCCACAGGCAGGGCCGTGCCAGGCTCCGTTCAAGCCGTGGCTTGCTGAGTGCTGTGTCTCCCTGGTGCTCTGTGGATCCTGCCCAGGAACTGCCAGGAATGATGGCAGCACCACACCTGGGCCTGGCTGCAGCCATTAGCCAACAATCCCAGAGCAAGGCCCAGCTGGCACTGCCAGGCTAGTGAGGGAAGGAACAAATCCTTCCTTCCCAGGACACTTAGGCCCACAGAAATTCCACTGAGGCCGTGCTGCATGAGCCTAACCTGGGGGGCTTGGAACACAAGCACTAACCAAACACAGGTTTGACAGTGGCAGCCCCACAAAAAGGCCCCCATACAGCCTCCTGCTGCTCATTAGGCTTGAGCAAAACTTGCTGTCCTCTTCTGAATTGGTTGGAGACACATTCTTCAGGTTCTCTTTAAAAGAGGAATGTGTGGAGCAAGTAAGAAGCATGTCAAGTTTCATTTAGCCTTTTTTCTCATCAAACTGCACACTTCTTCTGTTTGAGTATGTAGTAGGGCAGTTGTTACACAGTTGAAAAATAATTGCTTATGGCTTTGTGTCTGTAAGATTCCAGATATGTTCAACTGCATCCGAAACTAACTTTGACCAACATTTCTGGAGTTTTCTATGCCCAGTGTAAAGGTTAAAGTTATCTGCAGTTAATTTGTTCTCTGTAATCCTGTACTGTGTATCGTGGAATGTCCTTCAAGGGGGAAAGCTGCTCCCATGGAATGTGCTTGTCAATCCCTTCCCACCTGAGACAAACAGCAAACACCAACAGTGTATTAAAACAGGCACTGGAGGATATTGGGCTTTAGCACAAGACAGCTCCAGACTCGGGCTTAAGTAGACAGACAGTGACAAAACAAACACATCGTTTCCACCTGTGCTGATAAATAACTGTGGTTCTGGGCCAGGGTCACACCACAGGTGCCTTTGCCACTGTGACAAGAGCTGGGCTGTTCCAACACACACACACACACACCCCCACACCCACGGGTGCACATTCTGTGTGTGTCTCAGAGCCAGAGTGCTCACTGATACAAGTTACCTGAGGGGAGAGCAGCAAACGTATTATATTAAGCTTTTTTTCTGCGCTTCAAGAGAAACTTGTGTCAGTGAAGTGAAAACTTTTCTTTCCGAGGGCTAAGTCCTCTGCAGCCCCAGTGCCTCCTGAAGGAAGCCCAATGCCTTCCAGTGTAATTGTGCCCCTCAGAAACTTGTTCCCCAGTAGTCTCCAAACAGCAACAAAAGGCTCCCAAGATTGAAATCAATAACTTGGTCATAACCCCCTTCTTGGAATTTGGTGTAAATAAAAGTCTCTTCAGAAGGAGTACTAGAAATACAGATTTCCTGACACTGTAACCCAAGTCTTGGAAACATTCCTTTCTCAAGACTGAGGTAGATGCTATAACAGCTTAGTGGGGGTTTTCTGGGGGGCCACAGTAGTAGAAATGAGTAGCAGGTACTCATCAGCTCCAAATCTCAGCCTGGGAATATTGCAGAAGCAGGGAAAATATATGGCCTTAGCTCTGAACATTGCAGCTCATGCAAGAATAGCTGGAAGGGCACAGCTGTGTAGTCTGGTGCTCAAAACCTTGACTCAGAGCTTTACTTGAGACAGAATATAAATTTCAATGCAAAATAAACTAAAAACATAAAGGGTTTATTTTTAGACAATGGTGCTGGAGGTGGGAAGGCTCAAGGTAAAGGTGTTTTCCATCTCTGTCTACAGTTGTTCTCCCTAAACACCATCCCCCCGTGGTGAAAAGCTCCACACTGTGTGTGACACGGGTGTGTATGGGTGGGCACTACACCTGCTAAGGTGCCAAAAGGTTCTTTCTCTTCTGTTTTGAACAATTGGAACTCAGTTGTGACTTTTTCACCCAGGTTTACAAAACACATGAACTTGTCAATGCTGGCATATCTGACATCACCATCCGTCCAGACAAGAAGATTTTAGCAACAGCAGGGTGGGATCATCGCATCAGGATCTTTGGCTGGAAAAAACTGAAGCCCTTAGCAGTGCTGGACTATCACACAGCAACTGTCCACTGTGTGTCCTTCTCGGAGCACAGGAACCCCCGTGAGAGGCTGCTGGCAGCCGGCTCCAAGGACCAGCGCATCAGCCTCTGGTCACTGTACACCCAGAGCTGACACCTGCAGGGCCCGGGACAGCACTCCTGACACTGGAACTCAAACCTGCATGGAGGGAGCTCGGAGCATCTGTCTCCAGGCTGAAGAGAGAGTCCCAGGTTAATTCCTAATGCTACCTGTTTAAGCTGCAAATTTTGTTTTCCAGAGAAGGATTTTTAAAATCCATAACAAGCAGAAAAAGGCCAGTCACAAACAAAGACACAGAACCAAGTTGCTTTGGGTTCTGCTACAGGTTTTGCAACAGCTTTTCTTTGGCAGGTTGCTGAAATAACTTGTGCCATTATCTCTTGTGAAAAAGGACTGGAATCCCTCAAACTGTGGTGGGGGCAGAATACATCTGTTTGTAAGCCATTTATGTAACCAAGAATTTGAATCAGTGCAAAATATCACTCTTTCTTGAAAATTTATACCCATTAAACCACCTCCAGTGGTTTCTCATTGTCAGTTACTTTTTCTTCCCTGTAACTGAAAGGCTATCAGAACAACCTTGATTTGTTCACACTTCTGTCAAGTTTCTAACTTAAACCAACAGCCAGGAATGTGACTAGGGACGGCCTTTGGCACTTATGAATTTCATTATGTCTCCTGTCACCTCAAGCCTCACAATTAATCACAAGAAAGAAAGGGAAAAATCTTCCCCTGCACTGCACTGCAAAGCTTTGCAAAGCCCTTTCCAGAGCAGTGCTAAATCCTTCCCATAGACCGACGAGCTGAAGGATTTGAACTCAGCAATCCAATTAGCGCCCTTCTCCTTGGAGAGTTCGGGGTAGGTTTCAGCATGGCAAGTCTGGGATTCAGCCACACAGCTCTCATTAACATTTAGGGGAAGTGCTGGGGTAAATCCCTACCCACATGGTGCAAATGGCTCCGTTAACTTGTCATCTCTAGGGCTGTGGAAGCTAAAGTTCACTCATGGAGGGCTTTTTGTTTGACTCATGAAGCAGCATTTCCATTCTTCTGAAGCATTTTAGGACACCCCCCCCCCCCCCCGTGTGTTCAGAGCCACAGTACAGCTGGATTAGGTCACAAAGCTGCAGTGGCAACTGTGTCCAGGCTGGGCACTGTTGATACTTATTGGAAATAATTGTTTCTGCACTATAAAGACCTGGAAATCAAAGAAAAAGGCACCAAAAGTGCAGTGAACAGCAACATCAAAGACTTTAGAAATTATTTCAGGACAAACACACATGGAAATTAAGGTCTGGGTCTGTTACCCAGCTGTGCTTTGCAGGCAGAGAATACTGCTGGACTGAAAGCCTTAAGCACCCAGCCTGGTGTTCTTTCCATTAAAACAGAATCAGGATACTGTTGCCAGGCTTTTCTAAATAAAATGTGGCCTTACACATTTTGGAGTGTAATGACAGTTTAAATAATGCATTTCTTTGATTATTTCTTTACTATTCAGTAGCTGCATGGAGGATCACATTGCAGTTGAAAGTTAAAGCCTAATTTTGAGCGATCCCAAGTCAAGGGGAGGTGATGGTGTTCATTACATCTACCAGACAGAGTTGCACAAAGTGCTCCACCTCCACCCCTCATCCCCTCCCACACACAGGAGGAGCTGCTCCCACTGCACACGAGGCTCCAGCCTATGGAATGAGGGGCCATCTCCACAAAGCTGCTGCTGGAAGAGACCTTTCCTTTTGTTCTTTTCCCCCTTTCTTAAATAAGTCAGAACTGACAAAGGAACAATGCAATGAATAACTAGAGAAAGCACTGCTGAGTGTGGTCCAGGGACCCGTCCCAGGGAGTTGGCAAAGCTCCCACGGGGCTGTCCTGTCAGGACACACCACACTGGCCTGGGGGTACCAGGGGGGTGCAAGAGTTCCCAGCCTGCACTGCTGGGCAATGCCCAGTGCCTGCAGGGTTACTGCTCATCCAGCAGGAAAGGAATCTGGGGCTCGCCCACCTTGGGCAATGGTTACTGCAGGAAATGAGAAGAGCCTGGTCCTGGCAGAGCAGTAATTCATCCTTTGGACAGGAAGGCTCTGTGCCACAGAGCGCAGTGACAGCGTGGGGAAGGTGGTTTCCAGACTGACTGATGCAAACCTGCAGCACTTGGGGCAGCTCCACGCTCAGCACACCCTTGTTCTGAGTGCCAGTGAGGAGCACCTGATGCTCCAGGGACACTGAGGTGCCAAGGCGTGGCTCCTGCTCCTGGCACGGCTAGCTCACAGCCACCCCTGCAGCTCGAGCCCTCGGGCCCCAGAGCAGAGACCTCTGCACCTTACAGCCACTCAGCAAACAACTGCTGATCAAACACTGCACTGGCACAGTGGCAGCCCCCTGGCAAGAAAGGATTAATACCCCGTGCCTCCTGAAAGTCAGGAATTCTGGAGTATACTATTTTCCCTAAAAAATGCCATTTACTGTCAATGTCTGTGTCTAAAGTCATTGTGGAGACTCATAAGGGATGTTTAGATTTACGAATAGGTCCTTTGGAAGATACTCTTAAAGATGAGTATGTGCTGCCACATCTAACACTGCCTTTTGCTGGGAGTTAAATATTTATATTTGTCTGATTAGGTAGAGTTAAAAATAAACTTAGTCATGCAAGTACAAATTGAAAATGAGGGCATGAACTGCATCTCACTACCAGGCAGACACAGAGGTAAAGAATTTCATCAGCTTCAAGAGGAAGGACACAGGTTGCAGAGCTGCTTGCAAGAACAGACCCATCCTATACTTCCCATTACCAAAGCACTATCCAGCTCATACTTTTGCACATTACAGTTAATTCATTAACACTTTACATCACTACTGATTTTATTTAAACACCCAATAAACAGATTTCTCTTTCACATTATAGTTTCCTTGAAATGAACAACCAGACTACATTAGTTTGATTTAGAGTTGAGCCTAAATACCATTGTTGGATTGTGAATTAGAGTCTTCTAAAATTTTATATCCTTAAGGAACTAACCTGGACTTCCCCAAAGAAGAATGATTTCCAACAGGAAGGACAGTCTATATTGCTATAGACTGTAAAACACAGTTGTCTGAGTATAATTGTAAAATACAGTTGTCTGATTTCATCTATTAAAGTAACAACTTTTTTAATTTAAAAAAATAATTTACAGCTCGTTACAATTGTGCCATGAGCATGGTTATCACCCGAGATTTCAGCTGACTTGCTTAGCAGGAAGGCTGTGAGTGAAGAGCCACCTTAAGCTGCTGGAGTGAGTTCTGGAATCTCACCTGCCAGTAAGGAACAGGGCTAGCCTGTACCTGGTCTAAAGGATTCAGGAGCGGAGGTGATGACAGCTAAATTATTACAAAAGGCTTCCTCCCAAGAATCACTGTCTTTGGCACTGTGAGAGGAAGAAAGCAACCAGCATTCGTAAACTAACGGAAATAAATCCCAAACACCAGCATTTGTGCAGCCATTACATGGAATATTTATCACCACTGGAATGAATGGTGATCTCTGACCCTCTAACATTATTTGCAAATGAACCCATTAGTTAAACCCCTTTCTCTTATCAGTACATGAGCCATAAAGCATTGCAGTCCTAAGTGTAGATGAGCAAGGAAAGAGGAGATTAATTGTATTTGTAGTAATGAGTGAAAAAGGAAGTAGGCTGGGGGCCTGCAATGAGACAGTTGTTAAATTTAGCCTTATGCAATGCAATTGCTTCAGCAAGCCAATAAATTATTCTCTGCAGTTTGACTTGGATTGTTGCAAAGGTTTGAGTTTAAAAAGGCAGATTTTTATAGTTAAGTTAATACTGGTTTCTGGACTGCTTTTTGGTTTTAGCACGTTTAAGATGCATCTACAAAGCCAACTTACAAATTAATAAATCTTTCCTTTAATTCAGTCTGCCAAGAACAAAGATAGAACACTGACTACTGCAGGAGCCATGTTAGTGATGTAAACCAAAGGAGTGGGGATTAACCAAGGATTACCGAGCGCTAAATCAATGTGTTTCCTTTTCTGGCTGTGTGTCTGTGGTGTGGATCGTTACATAAAACATGGCACAGGACTGCCTGGATGATACCAGACACTGTTCCAGCAGTGCTGGGACACACACACAGCTGGATGTGGAAGCACCACCACTGTGCTCCCAAGGCAGTGACAGCGCTCACTAAAGCAGAAGGCACCGGGGGTTCTGTTGCTCTCCAGTATCCTGAAATTCCAGCCTGAGTCCCCCTACTAGAGTAGTTTTTCCAAGTAAACTGGACTGTGTTTATCCATGTCCTACTCTTCTGGGGCATGTTGGAGGCTTCCTTTATAACATGAAGAAAACTATCCAGAATTAAGATCATACTGGGGGAGTTTGGCAGCTGTCACAGTATCAAATTAAATGAAAACATAATGAAAACATAATCTCTTAGCTGTGAATGTTTTGCTCACCTGATTATTGGTATGAACAATATCTGTATGTCCTGTCAGCAGTGCTATGCACTGCTTTATTCTGACTTACCTCAGAGGAATTCAATTTGCAGTTTGGTATTAGAAGAGGAGGAGAAAGGGGAATGAGGGTGTAAATCAAAACAAAGAAGCAACTCGTCCCTCTGAGTTCAGTGATATGAAGATTCTGGAAAGCACAAAGGGCCTTGGAGCAAACCACCTCCAGCAGTGGCCAGATTCCTAAGGGGAAAAAGACAAGGATGGCAGGAATAGTGGAACCCTACAGTGATAGGTCTGTCTTTTGAAACTTGTACACCAGCTCATTTCAGTTCCAGAAGTATTTGCTTTTAATTCTCCAGCATCCTTTTTAAAGGTGTTGGAACATAGGAAATCCTCTGAAACACAGCCTACACCTCTAAATAAGGCTGTGTTCACCCAGAGGAGTGTGGACTTATTTCTCTGCTATGAAGAGTCATAACACCAGAGGCTGCAATGCCACAGGGGACAGCACTGGGAGGGACTGAGGTCCTGAAGCAGCCACATGCACTGCAGAACCATCCCAGAGCAGTATTAACTATCTTCTTACAGAAGAGTGACATGACAGTGAAAAAAAAATAATTCTAGCAATTATATGTTGCAAATTGAAGTTCTAATAATAAAAAAAAAAAGGAAGAAAAAAAGCTGTTACATTACACTGAGATTACAGCTAGATGCTGTTTTCTCCTAGTTTTTATTCCCAGGATACATAAATGAGGGCAGTGAAAAGCTATAGAAACCCTTTGGTGCTTTCTGGACAGCAACGAGCTCCCTTTCCTGCCAGCAGCAGGGTTGACTGATCCTGACTATGTCCAGATCAGGGAATCTAGGGAGGATGCTAAATGCTGGCTGTTATTCTGCTCCATAGCTCTGGCATCCCATGCAAGCCAAAGTACATTTTCCAGGCACCCACTGCTTGCTATAAACACATCCTGGCCCAGGTAAGAAGAAATTGGGTGTGCTGGGCCTATGGAATAACTTTAAACATGGCAGAGGACGTGGCCATGGCATTTGTCCTGATGGGAATTCAAAACCTGCTGATTCGAGATCCCAGTGATTCGTGGATGCATTGTCTCTGTGATGGAAAAGGGTCTGGGCTGCTCTCACCAGAACACTGAGGGTAAGAATTGTCTGCTCAGATGGTTTTGCCTCAGATATTTTGATGGCATGCAGACCTGGCATCCTGCTAAATTGAGACATTGAGTCTTTATAGTTTTATCTCTTGAGCCCATCTGGTTTGAAGCAGTTGACAACAAGCAGGAAAGGGAACAGAATGAAAGACTCACTTTGCTGAAATAAAAGCAATGTGTAAGGCAGTGCTCAGTGAGGGGCTGCTGCACTCACCCCTCACCACCCTGTGCCCTGCTCAGAGGGTTGGAACAGGACAGCTCTGCTGCAGCCCCTGCCCTCCCTCCCTCGGGGCAGCTCACCCCACAGCCCTGCTCTGCTGGGACAGCTCACTGACCCCACAGCCCTGCCCTGCTAGTGCAGCCAGGCTGGAACACCGAGGGACAAGGGGAACCAATCACCTGCCCCCAGAGCGAGGGACAACAGGAGCACGAAGTAAGGGGTGAAAACCCAAACACAAAAGCAGAGCCCCCGTCCACCAGGCAAGCTAAAACCACTGACAAAACTGGCACTGCAAACACCCCCCACAAAGGTGCTTCTGGAAATTTTACATGTCGTTTATCCTGGTTTTAACTTCCTGTTGGCAGTTCCCAGCCCAGGGGTGTCCCTCTGAGTCCCTGGCACTGTGCAGCCCCCTGCTGCAGGCAGGTTCCAGCACAGCGTGGCCCCGAGGTGTCCTTCCCTGCCCCTGGGAGCACCGGCCGGGTCAGTTCCCACAACAAGCTCTGGGGAGGAGGACTCTGCTGTGCAGCTCTGTCCCCTTACACAGTTAGGTCCTAAAGGTGACTTTTCTGGCTTTTGTTCTTAATCACTTTGTTACTAGTTCAAATTTGTAATTTTAACCTAAATAGAAGTGAGTGATTTATTGTAATTGTTTTGTATAGGCTGCTCTTAATAAGCTTTTTTTAAAATCTGGAAAAACATTTAATTTCCCATATGGAAAGAACACATTTATCATACTTTACTCGGATATACTTGGCCAACTATTGCACATATATGCAAAACATATGTGACAAATCCAAGGCTGAATTTCATAAAACAGAAATGCTATGAAATGTGATATAATAAATATATTACGCAGACATATGTGGCCAATTTATAAAACTATGGTATCTTTGGTAAATTTATAATAGGTCATTTCTATTAATGGAGGGGAAGGAGTGCGTTTTTTCTGGCATATGCAACACACACAGTACTTTACACAGACAGTGGGGCTTCGGAGAGCACAAACACACACAGTGTATATGTGTCATGTCTGTGGTCTTCAAAATTAATGTATATCTACGTTTTTGCATTGATCGTGTGTGCAACATACCGGGCAGGAAAAAAAAGTATGACACTATTGTTGGCGATTTGCAAAGCTGTGATACACGAGCCAGATTCCCACAGGCAGTGTCCCACTGTAACACTTTTATGTGCACGTGCTGTGCTCATGATAATGGCAGTAACAGAAATCTTGGGGTACGGTCACTGTCATCTAGTTGTGTCAAACACCAGTGTAAATTAAATATCTTACCGACCGATTTAATTAGAATAATTAAATGAAGAAAATAAATGCATACATTTAGAAAAAGGTTGCATTCATACACACGTACTGCCCTGTACACGAGCAGACTGGACTCTTCCTAACACCAGCTTATAGCAACAGCTGAACCATTCCTGCCTGAGTCTCACTCACAGGTTACTGCCCCTCTTCGACTATGCCTGCGTGCCCCAAAGATCCATTCTTTGCTTTATAAAACGAATCTATATTTTCCTCTCCGATTGCGTATTCGCAAGCTGTGCAAGAGCTCTCCCAGGACTGGTTTTCCGCGCGGGCAGGACCCACGGCGTGCCATGCCCGGCTCTTCCCTCTGGAGGGAGCCGGCTCTTCAGGCAGGGCGGGCCGCAGCGAGCGCAGCATCCTCCTCCTCGGGGTGAGTCCTGCCCGGTACCCGCGGGGCCCCGGCTGACCCGGGGCACACCAGGGCCTCCCCGCCTGCACTGGCAGTGTCGCACGGACGGCGGGTCCGCCCGGAGCCCCCGCGGCCCCAGACGTGCTGCAGCGAAACCGCCTTTCTTGCAGCCCAGCAGGTACACGAGCGAGGGCAGAGCACCGAGCAGCAGCACGGCCGTGGCACACACGCTCGGCCCCCTCCAGCCCAGTTCAACGGGCTCACGGCAGCTTTTGGAGCTCCTCGGCTGAAGGTGCTGAAACCTGCTCTGCAGGTACTGCTGCGTTTGCTCCTCCTGACTCCTCCGGGCAGCAGGGCTCACCTTCCACCCCCAACCCTAACCTGTGGGTGCCTAACTCGCTTCCAGTGGCTACTTTACACTGGCAGAACATTACACAGCACGACCGAACCTGCTCTTCTTATTCCTTCCAGTCCAGATGGAGGAGTGACTGCCCCTCGGTGAGGGATCCGGTGCCACGGGCTGACATGCACTCACTGGACAGCAGGAGGTCTGTCTGGGGGGAAGGACAGCACTCCAGCCGAGGGGGCCCTGAGCCACAGCTCCTCTGGAGGGGTGCACTGCGAGCCCCTAGCTCACGGCAGACCCCCAGTGCCCCAGCAGCCTGGTGCCTGCAGAACACCTTTTTATGCTTACTGCAGTCCTCGAGTCATTCTCCACTCTGCAAGCAACTCTTAGACACACTGTCCCACGAAAGAAGCCAAAGCAGTTACTCCCCTAGCCATGGCCATATGTACATGTGCTTGGGACTGACTGAAGAGATGCCAACACCCCAGGATGCTGAGAGGGATCTGCTGGGGACCACCTTCACAGTTCTAGCCAAAGCACTTCTGGGATTTCCCCAAAGAGGAGGAAAGACTGAATATCCATGAAGTGTGTAAACAGTGTGCATGACCACCACAAGCACACACAAGTCTCATCCCCATGCTCCTCCTATCCTACACTGAAGTTAGTCAGATCCACTAGCATGGAAAAAATAAAACCAACAACAGCAAAAAGCCGTTTCTGAAAACTGTGTTTGGGGTAAGTGATCAAACCAAAGCCGCCCTTGTTTCACCAGCCTACTCCTGTATTTATCCACTGAGCTAAGCGATGCGGTTTTCAGACCTCTGGAGCAATCAGTAAACTCAGCGTGTACCTCTGGAAAATAGAGCTACGTGGCTAATTTATTCTCTAGCCCTGTTTGGAAGAGACAAAGGGTGCTTGTACCCTCCGTGCTTGGGCCTGTTTTACCAGCAGCTTTCAAACACCGTGTTCCGTGTGACTTGAGGTGACACAAGTGGAAGCATTGTCTGGAAATAGTGCCGCCTTCTTCCCAAAAATGTGCTGTGGGCCCTGGTGACAGTGTGTACTGAGTGAAGTTTAACCAGACATGTAAGCAAATCATACAAAGTCATTTGCCAAATGAATCTGCAATACACAGATAAGGCTTGACTATGTTTTCACTAACTGGCTGACAGGTGACCAATCTGAAACTAAAGTGTTACACATTTTCTGTGACTTTCAAAACGCTTCTACTGGTCAATGTGCAGTTATGGGGTTTGTGTTTGTTTGAAGGAGATTTTTTGTTGTGATAGAAAAATAACCCTTTTTGCTTTCCATATCTGTAACACTTCCTTCCATGAGATGGGCACAGCAATGGAAGGAGGGACACTAGTCAAAGTCCCAAGGAATCTTGATTTAAGGATTAAAACATGAGAAGAAACGGACTGCTAATATGTTTCATGCTAATATATCTAAGGACCTTGCATGTTCATGGCCTAAAAGCAAGGCTGGAAGTACCATTTTCATAGTTCAGACTGTAGCCTTGACACAGCTGCCGGTTCCCCCCTTCCCATTCAGCCCCAGGACTTCTGTAGTGGATCTTTAGCACAGAGGACAGACCAGTGATCCTAAAGGGCCCACTGCCCACAGCCATGGGTTGAGGATCTGTGATCTTCTCTTCCAACAAAGAGAAAATTAAAATTCCTACAGTCAAGACAAGGACCTTGAGCCACTTTTGGTAAGAGCACAGCTTAGTCCTGGCACCTTGGGTTGCTCTCGGTGTGTTTAAAGAAAACAGTGCTTACCAAAACAAACAGATCTGTTTCCACCTGGGAACCCCAACCTTGCAAGCTGTTGGGTGGTGACAGGTCACCACAACCACGCGCAGCTGGGGCAACCAGGGACAGCAGGGAGGGAGGAATGACCTAGGAGAGTCACTGTTTGCTCACACTAAAATCCCTCCTTATTTAAATGACCTCATTTTGTAGGGGAGGTTTATACTTCAGAGCAGACAAACTGACAAATATACACAAATAATCAAACAAGAAGTGAAGGAAAGAAAGAAGAGGAAAAATATTTATAAATGTCACTGTCCAATGTCTTTTCAATTTAAATGAAATAAGATTATCTACATATATCTACAAATATCTACATGTATCTACACTGTTTGCAGATATGATTTCTTTGGTTGTCTTCACTTTTTTTCCTATGCTCCAACTATTAAGAAAAAAAAGTGTTTGCATAATCTTTGAAAGAAATAATAAATATAACAACTTCATTAAACGTTTGACCAAAGCTTTGGCACTAATCAGTTTACAGATAACAAATCATAGTGAAAACTCTGAAATAACAGCGGCAAAGCAATAGAGCACATCCGAGAGCCATTTCCCACTGACTAATAATAAGCACAAGGCTGTTTGACATCAACCTTTCTGAGAACATTAATTATGGTTTAGTCAGACACTAAGAACCTCAAAATTCACTGCAAATATCAAATAAAATACATATTTCTTGCACAAGACTTTTTCATGGATCCAGATATATTTTTTTAAACAGAAAAAAAAATTACACAAAATATTAATGGTAGCCTGTATCCCTTCTTAAACCCTTCGAAAAAGTTTTGGAAGCCCAAAGCCCACTGCCAGAGACAAAATAAACATTGCTATTAACACTGCCACCTGCACAAGGGAAAGAACACGTTATAAAGGGTTTGTAATGAAAATGCACAAACATGGGTGAATAGAGGACTTTAAAAAAACATAAACCCCTTCTTTTCATAGAGTCACATGGAAGAATCAGAAAAGTGTTCATAATACTGTATACCAACACAGCTTAGGAGCTGCTCAAAACCTTCTCTGAACACAAAGAGACTGCCTTCGGTGAGCATCTGAAAACAGAAACCAACTTCTCCAAACACATCACCGGAGAAACTGTGATGAACAGGGCCATCCCTTCAACAGCAACGAACGACTACTGAAGGAGGATATTAAAGGAAGAAGAAAAAAGTACTTACCAGCATTAAGAGGGGAGATGCAGGAAGCAGGTAGATGTAGAACGGGTGCTTTGGGATTACTGCAGTTTGGGTCAGCCAAATATAAGGGGTGAGGCAGACTGAGAAAAAACCCTGAAGTCCCTCTAAAAGGCACCTCCACAGGAGAGTATCAAGAGCTCGGGAAGGGACGCAGGAAGGCAGGAGTGTGGGGCTGCCTGGGAAGGGGGTGAGAACACACAGCCTAAACCCTGCAGGTACCACCCCCCCCCGGCTGCTTTTTAAACCTTTGCATCTGTTGTTGTGAAAACAAGACACACGTACGTGGCTGTCCTCTTGGCCACGGGCCCTTCTCAACAGCTCCAGAAAGTGCTGTTGTGGTTAAGGCACCCCCGTGAACCCCAAAACTCACGGGAGGGTCAGGGCCGGAGGAGAAGTGGGAAATCTGTTCTGGCAGTGAGGATCCCAAGCGTTCCCTTGCCCTCAAAGAACCACCTGAGCCACCCGCGAACGAGGCCTCGGTGTGCCCAGGTGGGAGAGACTGGCCCCGCGGCACCCCCGCACCGCCCTCGGACACCCGCGGCCGAGCGACCGGGCACGAGCCGCTTCGCCGCCGCTCCCCGCCCTCCCGCCGCTGCCCGGCCGCCCCCGGCCTGGGTGCCCGGCGCGGGCGGAGGCGCCGGGAGATAAGGACATATGGCTTCATTTATCAAAGTGCAGCCGCGGTCTCTCCGCGATGGCGGCCCCGGCACCGCCGCCCTCACGGCCCCCGACGGGCGGGTCACCCCGCGACGGCACCGCCGCCCTCACGGCTCTGTCCGCGATGGCGGCCCCGGCCCCTCACGGCCCGCGTGGGCCCGGCCGCCGCCGATTGGGCGCTGCAGCTGTCAATCAAGTGGCGCCGGCCTATCGGGTGGCTGGAGGGGCGGGAGGCGAGGGCGGCGGGCGGTGTCCGTGTGGGGCCGGTCCCGCGGCCCCGTTACCGCGGTCCGTACTCGTAGCCCGCGGGCGCCCCGGCCGGCGAGTACATGTTGGCGGCCGCCGCGGCCGCGGCCGCCGCGTTCATGTGGTGGTGGTGGTGGTGGTGGTAGCCGTGCCCGCGGATGCTGGGCAGGGGGTAGGGCGCGGGCCGGCTCTTGGCGCCCAGGTAGTGGTCGTAGGCGGCCGGCGGGTACTTGTAGGGGTGGTGGTGCAGCGGCTCGGACGCGGCGGGCTCCAGGCGCAGTTCGTGGTGCGGGGGGCTCGGCCGGCCGCCCCCCGGCCCGGACAGCGGCACCAGCCCGCCGGGGCCGCCGGGCAGCGCGGGGCTGAGCACGCGGGACATGAGCTGCTGGTGCGCGGCCTCCGCCTGGTGCAGCCCCGTCCCGCCCGCCTCCCGCTCGAAGTCCCGCCGGCTCTCGGCAGCATCTGCGGGGGACACACCGTCAGCATCCCGGCACGCGGGGGAGAGGAGCGGGGGGAACGGCGGCGCTGCGAGCGGGGCTGGCGGGACGGGACCTTCTGACTGCGATAAATGGAGCTGAATTGACTGACAAGCTGGTGCACGCCTGACATTTTTGCAATTGTGTAACACTAAATAAATACAGACTTCCCTTTATTTTGCAGGCCCGGAGTGTGTTTTGGAAGAAAGGCATTCGGTTGTCTTTGCAGTTGTTTGCTCTGGGTAATGGAAAAGCAGTCAATGGGCAGAGGTGCTGTTCGACCTGACTGCAGCTCCTGAATGGAGCGGGTGGGCCCTGAACGTGATGCCGAGGCACATTAAAAGGGCAATGGGAGGGGGAGCCCGTGGCCAGCACTGCATCCCTGCCTGAAAAGCTGAGTTTGTTGCCAAAAAGTCGAAAAGGGGACACTAAAGGCAAAGGGTGGTATTTTATAAAGCAGCAAACTTGCTTGAGTACAACAGTCAGTGCTGTAGTCCGAGCAAGAATTAATTAGGCTATGAAGGTGGCTATTTTTGTTCAAAAAACGGGCAGCAGTGCAAAGCTGGTTAGCAGTGGGGCTGTGCACCAGCATTAGGAGCAAAGCTGGCCCCGAACATGCATGTGGGGGCCGTGCAGGCCAGCAGGGCCCAGGTGACGGGCTGGCCTGGCCAGTGGGGGCTCTCACCTTTCTCTGTCCCATTCTGGTGGGCCGGGGAAGAGACTGGATTCCGGGATCTGGCAAAAGCACTCATGAGAGGAAGAGCCCCTGGCCTGTGGTTCCTGGGCCTGGAAGAAGAAATGGAGAAGTGACACAGAGCCAATGGTCCAATGGAAAGAACACTTGGAACGCTGCTGCTGTGAGCTGCAGCTGGCAAATGGGGCCCCACACAGTGTCTCCCAAACTCCCTGCAGGCCTTGTGCAAATGTAAGCTGGGCAGGTGCACGTGAAACGGGATGGGAGTGGGGTGTAGTCATAGTCAATAAAGGCACAGCCTTACCAGTCCTCAGGGTCACAGTCTCTGAATCCCTTGGCAAAAGGGTTGCTGGCGATCTTCAGCTGTGTGATCTGTAAGGAGAAACGGGAAAATGTCTCAGTGGCACACGGGGCTCCCTGGTCAGACAGAACACGTGTCCCTGATTAGGATTGGGGACTCAGCAGTGCCTGCTGTAACAGAGAGGGTCCAGGTGGCCGGTGGAGCTGGGACGTGCTCGGCCACAGAGCACAATCGTGTGCTTTCTCTGTTAGAAAACGAGGGCTAACATGCTACCTAATATGAGTTCAAGGTGAAGGGAGAGGCAGCCTGAATGGGCTGCAAAAGCTGAGTAAACGCACTTGTAAGAAAATGCCACATTATATGGGTCACCACTGGAGCAGCTAAGACAAATCACTGGATAAATCATACTTATGTATTTATTTAATTCGCCGGGGAGAAGGCAGGACATTTTCTATATTTAAGCAAATCCATGGATAAAGTATGTGATTGTGAGTTTCCGGAATGGGTTGAAAAACAAACTTTAAGCCCCTCAGTGACAGTTCCAGCCTTAGAGGTCAAACTGATAGAAAGCAGGAGAGAAAGAGCAGCTGTCCGGAGCCATCAGGCAAATGCCAGCCGGGGAGGACTCCGCAGCCCCTTAAAGGCACAGCCTTGCTCTGGCCTCGCCGCCTCTGCGGGGTGAGGTGCGGCCCGACCGCAGCATCCCGAGGAGACCTCGGGTCGGTCTGCTCAGAGCCACTGCAGAGGGTGGCACTGCCGCCGGCTGCTTGGGCACAGCTCCGGGACCCAGCCCCGGGACCCAGCCCCGGCCTGGGCGGCAGTACCCGTGCGGAGCCAGGCGGCTGGAGCGGCGTGAAAAGTCCCCGCTGGAAATCATATTTGCGCTCACCGCTGGGATTCCTGCTCCTTACATCACACTGGTGCAATTTAAAGGAGCAGTTGGATTAACTGCTGCCTAGAAATCCGCATCAGATTGGGGTGGGGGTGTTTTGTTTCGTTTTTAACATATAATTGTATTCTGGGGGGGAACAGACAGCTACAAGCTTAGAGTAGTAAAATCGCAAATTTATCCAAACAAATTGTGAGTGACATTTCACAGCAGGAGGCCTGTAGTTCCCCCACTAGCCCCAGTCTCGGGTTTACATAGGTAATGAGGTCCCCCGGGTAGGGAGAAGCTGGCGATGGGGCTGGAGCCCACGTCGCTTCCTCGGCACGCAGAGATGCAGCTCTGCACAGCCCCCCGGCTATCGGGTTCCTGGCGCTGCCCCGGAATGGGTTTAGCAGATGGGGAGGAGGAGGTGGGAGTACCCCCAGACAGCCCCCGGACACACAGCCCGGCCTCCAGCGTCGGGAGCACCCACACCCACGGTACCTGTGGGGCGACCCCAACCCCCGCTTTCGGCTGCCCCGGCCCTTTTGCCTCACCCTGTGGTTCTGGTAGGCGGTCACGGCTGTGAAACGTGTCTCCTCGAAGACGAAGGTTTTGAAGTTCTCCTCCGCATATTTCTCGCTGTCTTTTCGGGGGTCCACGTAGACCACGTGAAAACGCGGCTGGTATCTGTGCATGGAGTTCAAAATGATCTGAATGATAAAATGAGCAAGGAGACAATAACTGATCCAGGCGGAGCATGGAGAGAGGAGAGCGCAGCCCGGCCCTGCCGGCTCCCCTGCCCGGGGCAGTCGCGGGGCTGGGGCAGGATCGGGGCGCGGAGCCCTGATGAGGGGCACGGG